CTGTGTGCTTTCTGTTTCAAAAACTAGGAAAGATGATAAACAGCAATTGTTAAACATTTGGACATGCTTTGTTGTGTAACTTTCACCTAGGAATGGTAACAAAATGGTAACAAAATTATCTGAGCAGCTCTGAGCTGCTGATGTTGATGTTTTAAGAAGTGCTGGAATACCAGGGAATAATCCTGGTGAATTTTTGGGGGAAAAATCACCTAAATGTTGGCTCTGCATGCAAATGGGTAAATTCAGGATAACGTTAATCCCAGGCAGTGATTGTGAAACTGTTATTGGCAAAGGATTGGAGAAACACAGCGTGGTTGTCCATATGGATGTTTGGAAAAGAACTCTTTTTCAGAAACTCTCTCCAGCACTCTGTAGTGGTAGGAAGAAGATTTTAGGAAATGACAGTGTGCAGCCGGGGTCATACAGCTTTCCCTGTTCCTGACCTCCTCCTCCCAGCACCCGTTTCCGCTTTCTTGACCCATCGGAGCAGCCAGGAAATGATCCCATAGGTGAAACCGCTTTGCTTGGCATCTTTAAAAATCTATACTGAGCTGCTGCTGCTGGAATATGACGGTTGTGGCAGGATCTGGCTTGTGAGTACTGGTAGGAGCAGCAGCGGACATAGAAACCTTCCCTGTGTGGGAGTCTGGAGGGGCTCAGGGAGGTTGTCTCGGGGAAGGGGTTTATGTCCTGTCTGCCTGGTGGCTCTGATGTAGTTGCTGCCAGTGAGCTTGCTGCCCACAGCCAAAATTGGTAGCATGAGGTTGTCCTGCAAGCGGAGACCTTTCTTTGCCAACTCACAGCTGTTAGGGCTCCTTTGAAGTTGTTTGGTAAACTGAGTCATAGGAAAGATTTTGAGCCATTTGTGTAGGAGTGAAAAATGCCATGGGAATTTTTGCATGAACGTAGCCAACCTGGACCTCGCTGAGCCTGGTTGTTGATCCCTAACATCGTCAGCAGGGGTGAACTCTAGTAATTACTAGCCACCTCTGAAGCCATCATATTTTCCTGTGTCAGATGATGCAGCTACACAGCAATGATTCCGAGCGTGCCTGCCTGTTTTCCTTATGCTGTCATTTATTTTCCTATGGGCACAATCTCAGTCCCACTATCAAATCAGGCTGTCTCAGAAGAAAATTGTTGTAATGCAGATTTTCCTAAACAAAACAGATTTTGGCAGAGTAATAAAAGCTTCTGTGCATTTAGGCTTTTTCCTTGCAGAGTTGAAAGCTCTTCTTGGGTCCTATGGGAAGCGTATATCAGCGGTGCTAATTGCAATCCCAAGACAAGCTTGTTGCCGTGCGGAGGCAATAGGAAGTATCAACTTCTCTCTGAAATGCAGCGTACTGTGTTCTGCTGGTTGTGTGTAGCCATGGCAGGTATTGGGAATGGTGGTGTGTTTCTTATTGTGGCTTTTCTACTAGAGCTATTCTTTGATTTTCAATCTCGTTATCAATTTTTATGGGGGATGGGCGGCGGGGGGAACAAACAAACCAAAAACCAACAGAAGACCATTTAGGCCTTTTCATTATTTGTATTGCCAAGGTAGTGCTGAAGTGGCCAATTCTTTGTTACGGTCAGCACCGATGGAGAGAGTGTGGTAGGGAATTAGCTTTTGCATACAGACAGAACCAAAGATCATGTCAGGAGAGCGATGCTCTCTTGTTTCAGGTTGTGAACCCTTGGTGTAAAGAGTGGGCTTGATTAGTGCCTTCAGGTGTAAAAGCAGAACAGGATGGGAAAATGCTCCAGTCTGCATGGAAAAAGCAGTTGGGGCCCAAATCCAGTTTTGAATATAATCTTACTGTGTGAATGAGCTCTGAGCCCTGGGCTGTTTGTCACTCGGCTCTCCAGAGAGACAACTGTCGTATTGATCAGAGTGGTTGCATGCAATAAGGGGCTTTGGTGGTTGTCTAATGGATTTGTCTGTTCTGCCTGCCCGAGAGCATTTTCTTGGGGTACAACAGAAAAGGTTAATTGCTTTATAAAGAGTAAGTGCTACAAGGGATTGAGTAATAACTGCTTCTTTCAAAATCCTAGAAAAGATGAATGACCGAACGTGGTGAATCATCACTGACGTGGTTTTTCAGAGGAACGGCCAACGTTCCTTTGAGACTTGCTGAATAAGCAGTTGCTGCAATTTTTTGGCTGTGTGTGAAGTAGCCTCTTCCTACTTCCCAAAATGCAGCAGTGGTCACAAACCAGGAAAAACCATGTTATTGGTGAATCTGGGTTTCCAGGTGTCTGTTGGGTTGTGTTGCACAGTTTCCAGTCATAATTGCGCTGGTTGAATTGCAATAAGCTCTGTGGTATTTTGTTACTATTTATGAGAATTTGAACTTCTTGTTTTGCAAGAAAATACCTTAATTATAATTTCAAATAGGTAAGAGAAGAGAATATGGAGAGAGGTTGACTTTCTGAAAAAACACACTTCAATTCCAGTGTGTTTGTTACGTGATTTTGGTTTGTGATACCTTGGATTTCTGTCATTTCCATCTAAGCTTCTACGACATCAAGTATTTTAAATCACTTTGTTTTTCATGCTTACTAGTCTTGAATTTGTCCTCAAGGCTAGATGGTTCAAAATTGCTACAAGTATTTGATAGCTGTTGATGATAAAGGATATTTTAAGTTAATCTTAGAAAACAGAATAGCATTTTTGCCTGAGCAGCATTGTGCTCTGGAAGGAAACTTCAGTGAATAAATTCTGGATTAGTTAAGGTTGACCGCAGAAGGTAATGCCATCTGATAAGTGTTGCCTTTACTTCTTGTGTGGAATAGTCATAATTCTTGATTTACACTACCTACTTTTCATGGTGGTAAATGTTAAATGAGAATTTAATTCTATGGAGGGATTCTTTGATGTGCCCTACTTTGTTTGCATCCAATAGTACATTTATGCTTTTCAGTGCACAAGCTTTTTGTTTCATTTCATTTGTAAGAGGAGTATTAGTTCTGTGTGGTTCTGAAGGCAACTTCCAAAACCAAAAGATGCTTCAGAGTACCTGAAAGAAGTTACTAATAAAAGCCCATAGTGGATTTTTAACTGGGAAGCTGAATTTATAATACTTCATAGATCAAACACTCAATGGAGTTATCTAGTTGATATGCAGGTACAAGCCAGGTAGAGTTATTGTTACAGAATGGACAAATGTGGTATATAAACTCAAGGTGCTGGAAATGCATTTGTTTATTTGTTGTTTTTTCATTATTGTCTATTCATGATAATTTGAAACGCAGCATTAATTTTAATAGCTGGAAAAAAAAAGAGCATAATGCTCTGATCTGTCCTTTTTGTTTGTGTAATACCCCAATTGATGTAAGCAGTTCAGCAAAATTAGGTGGCCTTTGAGATCGAAAAATTATTCAGCGCTTTACATAAAATGCGTTTGGAAGTTTATACCAGGGTGAATGAAGTCATCTGAGCTGAACAACAACTGATTTGCCGTGTGATGCTGGCTGTGCTGCAGGCAGTGACTGGGTGGGTGCTCACGCCTCGCTCGGCACGGCTGCAGAGAGCTTTTCCCATGTCCTGGCTTAGACAGGCTGTGAGCCATGGCTTGAGTTTGTATTTAGTGTAGAATTTCTAGGTTTCGCTTTGGATTTTGTAGCTGCAGGTGTGTGGTGCCACCGAGCCTCTTCTGGGAGGCCGCCGGGGGGATTTGGTGGTACTTGGAGCACTGGTGGTGGGTCCTGCCACCCCTGGCCAACAGCAGCAGAGAAGATGAACGTGTTTAAAAGGTGCTGGGGACATGAGCTCTTCTGCAGCGTCGGGCTGATATCGTTGGAAGGAAAGTGTAAAAGCATAGGTACCTCCCTGGCTTTTTCCCCCTCTCCTGACTCTGAGAACTCTCCATCTCTCTTCAGTGTTAAGAGTTGCATTTGTTCAGGCAGAACCTTACCCTTTGGCTCTCCATTTTCAGGTTTTTCAATGTAAATTACGTGGCCGTGGGATCATCCGTGTAATAAGACTTTAAAAAGAGCTGCATTTATAAAGCTTTGTGTATGCAAATGGTAAAGGAAGTATATTTACTGCACTTAATTTTATGTCCTTGCTAATTAAACAATATCTGAAATGGAGATTATAGTCTTTCTAGGAAAAGGACTTGCCTTGTTTATGGTCTTTGAAATGTCAAAAGTGTTTTTAAGGCTGTTTTCAAACTTAAACAGAGTAGGGGTGAACAAAATCACAGCTTCCTTGAAGAATGTCTGAGTAGGTATACAAAATACTTGCTATCTATTCTTGAGATAATTAGATAAATCTCAAATGATGATATTGCTGTATTGACCAGGTATTGGCCTACAAAAGGTTCAGTGGAGCTTGAAATGAAGAGACTGAAAAGAATTGTGCTTTATGAATGTAATTGTGGTGGGAGAATTATTAATTCTTAAAATTTAAAACTGATTCACTGAGATTTAGGTACATCTGCATAGTTAACATATAAATGATTAACATTAAGCATGCATTATAAATGAAGAATTATCATAATGAGAAACTGATATGTTCTAGTTACTCAAGCACACCCCAAAGCTTTTGTAATAACCTTTCTCGTACAAAGATAATTGTGATTGGGCAACTCTGGGTATTTACTGGCACATTATTCTGTTATGGAGGCAGCAGTAATTCCTGGGGGCTACTTGTTAGATATCAGAGGTGAGGAGAGATTTCTTCAGCTGCTGTCAGTAGAGATGTGTGGTGAGCATGCTCTTACCATCGTCTTCCATAACTAAATGAAACTGTTCAAACGCTTCACAGGTCTGCAAGCTCTTGGACCTCTCTTTGCCTTCTACACCATGAAACAACAGGAGACAGTGATGCTAGTGATGGGTCTGAGCAAACCCAGCCCTGACCTTCACCTTGGCACTTAGCATCTGGATCTGAATTTCCTGTTTCTGAATGTTTCCTATTTGAATAGTGGTCATATTTGGAGAAGTACCTAATAACTTTCTTCAGCTCATTAGTTCTCAATTCTAATAACTTTTTCCTTTTATTAGGAATACATAATCCGTGTTCAGAGAGGAGTTTCAGCAGAAAACAGTTGGCAGGTAATTTCTTACACTGTGGATTTCTTAAACCAGGATGCCTTTTTTAGGAAGAATTTGAAAATTGCCTCTTCCTAGATTTTAAATTTGAGCTGGAGAGGGAAATGCTGTTTTGGTACTGAGAACATGAAGTGCTTGAATATTTTTGGTCAAAAACTAAGTGAAAACCAGTATTGCTGCCAGCTACAAAATGCATGTTGTTTGCTGCTATTGTGAATATTCCAGGAAAAATGCTTGTTGTGTTACTACTGTGTGTTGGTACGACCATCATTTTTCATCTCAAAAGCCAGTTTGCCTTCCTGAGTGCTAAAATCACAGCCTTGCTGATACATGATCAACAAAACCTAGAAGTAGTAATTAAGATGACTATGAAAAGTTGTTGCATGTAATATGGCAAAAATACTTTGTTTGCAGACAACTTTCCTTGCAAATATTTTTAGGCTGTTTTAAGGTAATGTTTAGAAATACATTTTTGATTTGGTCAAGATGTGATTAAAAAATCTTTTTTGCTCTCTGGCAAAACGTGACAAATCCAGCAGTTATATATTTGTACGAAAATGGTTAAAAAAAGAAAATTATTATAAATGGGAACTAATTTTGTCTGATGGGATTTTGAAGAGTAAAATGCTAATGGAAAAAGTAATGTGTTTCCTGAACTTTGTATTTTGCAGATTGTGAGGCGATACAGTGACTTTGACTTGCTTAATAATAGCTTGCAGGTAACTTTTACCCTTGATATATAAATATAAAATGACATTTAGAAGGATATCTTTAAAATGGCTTGTGATGTTTTAATATATTGCAGCGAAGAAAAAATACAAATTCACATAGCTGTCAAGAGAAACTGTGACTTCAAATGTAACTTGAATGTATACCTTTCACTCTTACGTTTTCTCTTGTAAAATTTTAATTTAAGCATTACCAGGACCAACTTATGTAGAAGTGGAGGAAATTGGCAGATACTGAATCTTTTCCTTCAGTATTGTGACTTGTTCCGGTTTTATGTGTTATTATTTGTTCCTCCTTTGATTTGAAGAAAGCCAAGGCACATACCAACCTTATAAATTCAGCATTGAAGTGCTATGTGTCTCATTATTTATATTCGTCTAAAAGCACTACCAGATGCTGCTTATCATGTGATGGTTTTCTGTATCACTGGAAAGCGTTCCTTAGTTAAACACTGGACTTACTGTGTGTTTTCTTTTGCTTTTTAGGACAATTATTTCTTTTTAGTTTGTGTGGGAAAAAGCAGGGCATATGAGTGTGTTTGGGAAAAAGGGGGAAGCAGCAGTGACTAGCATCTACAGGAGTGAAACTTGTTACTCGAGATTTCCATAGCACTAAGCAAGCAAGATAAAAGTGCATGCTTTTGCAATTTGAAGAGAAATTTTTATGGTTTTGAATTTTTTTCCCCCTGTTAAATGTTGCATGAATTCAAGAGCTTAATACTGCTTCCTTTCCTTCCCCTTCCCCACCCCTCTCCCTGCAATCATCAGCTATCTGCTTGGTGAAACTCAGTGGGCAAAAACATGTAAGGATGTTGAACTGTGCACTCTGATAGTCTGCTGTAATTGATTCCTATGCTGGAAGGTGGATAGGGGGCAAATTAGTCATAATTCAAGAGATGCAATGTGGTTGCATTGTGGAATTATTTTATTGAATGTGCAGTGGCTCGTAGAAACTTTATTTCCATGACCTAGAAACCTCTTGTGTGATGTTCTGAATAAATGCAATACAAAGACACCTCCTGCTCCAGAGAAATACAAGATTTAAGATTAGATAAGCACCCACTGCGACACAGGGAATTGAGATGGTACGTGTCCGTTGCAGCACATAGTGGTCATTGTAGCTTTAACTGTAGTCAAGTTTTGATAGAGATCAGAGTGAGAATTTTGAGAAAGTTTTAAAAAGAAGAAAGAGTTCATTTTTGCAGCCACCTATAACAAGCTCCCCTTATCCGTGGGGAATAGAATGTGTTAAGGCATGAAAAAGCTTAGTTGCCTCCTCATTTAACTTTCAAATGAGGCAGCTTTAGTTGAAAAGGCAATGGACCTTTAAGACTTAAAATTTAGAAATGGCAGGTACTGAAAGGTTAAACCTAGGTGGGAAGTACAGCAAGTGAAGGTAAATAGGGTATGTATGATGTAGGACAGAAAGGAAAGTCCTTTGTATCTGAGGCAGAGGTGAATGATACAAGTGGAGGGTTCAGTAATTTATTTGACAGCAACTTACAGAGTGGGACAAGGAGGAATTTGAAAAGAGAGAGAGATTTTGCAGCTACGAGATACTAAAATCTGGGACAAAAATGTCAGCTGCTTGGATGGATAGAAAAGATCCAACAGAATCATCAAGGCATACCTCTATCTTGGATAGGAGGGTATGCAGAGGGCAGCTAAATTAACAACCCGTGTTCATTAGGACTTGGTCTCCTTCAGTGGAAACTGCTGCTCATCCCTTGATGTTCAAACTCCTGTTTTTGCTTTCCACAGTCTGGAAAGGCAAATATGTATCTCGGCTTGGAGACAAGCCTTTTCTGGCTAGTACAGAGAGCTGCTGAAGAGGTGTAATTCTTCGTTATGTGCCCAGCAGAAGGGCAGGAAGAGAGTTTGAAGCCTTCACCAAAGATGCACAACTCTGCTTTTGACAAACACCACTGCTCCTCCAGCCTAGTTCCTTATGTCAGGGCTTGAGAGACAGCAGACAGTAGCTGGCGAGAAGCATGTTAAAATTGCTCTTTTCTCCTACTGTTTTGGAGTTTTAAATAAAATGCTCTTTGTGGTGCTGGAGTTGAAGCTTTCTGATCCATTAAGACATGCAACACTCCTCAGTTCTTCCCATCCAGAACCCTAAGCAACAATATTTCATCACACTATTCAGGTCCCGTGACTTGTTTTTAAGCTCTCTAAACTCTCATCTTGTGTATATTGAAATTAGAGTAAACAAGCAAATAAACAAAACTCCGAGCAAATAAAACACCCCCCCTCAAAAAAAACCCAACAAAACCACAACCCCAAATCAAAACAACAATATAAAGCAATGATCAATCAGAAAATACAAAAAACCTAATACAAAAATCATTCTTCAAAACTGAGACGTTGCTGGAAAAACTGCTGGAGCTTCTTTTGGGTGTAAAGCCCCAAGTTTTTTCATTTCTTGTGGCATAATTGACCTCTCTGTAGGTTTGGGTGGTTGTGTTTGAACACACAGCTGCAGCAGAGCTGGAATGCACCTTTTCTGTTGTTAGTCTGGTGCTCCCTTTCAAAAATAGTAAGGACCAAGAGTTTCCAAGCAGTTTAGGTGAGGGGATGCAGTCCTACCAAACCCCTTGGAAATAATGAGCCGTGTATAGCTGTGACCCTGACCTGCATCAGAACATTTCAAGGCAGATTCCCTGAACTCTCAGCTGTGCCCTGGCTTGAAATGCTCCTTCCAGACCGTCCTGCATTTCTTCCTCTTCACTTACTTGACAGAGATATGTGGAGATCTTTGGCTGCTCATCCATTTTGTTAAGTGAACTACTTACTGGTACAGCATTCACAGCAAGATATCTGGCTTTCGTGAAGCGTTTTATTGCAGCTTTTGAACAGACATTCCTGAGCGGGCTGTGGTTTGAAGATAAGAATGTTAATTCCCAGGTTCTTGTGTGGCGAGGCCCATCCTGGCTCTGGCGCTGAGCTGGGGCCACTGAGAAGTACCACTTGTGTTTGAAAGCATGCGAGGTCAGAACCTCAGTGAGGTGTTCTTCTGCCAGACAGTGTTCTCACTGTGCTCTGTGTATTGGCAGATACCTACAAAAAACTGGGGTGAATGTCACTTTCTGCTGAAAAATAGCAGACGTGTGGTTTATTAAAATAATTTTTAAAGCAAATAATGGCGGTTTGAAAACATCTGAACTACAGTCCTGTTCTCTCTGATGGTAGCTAGCTGTTAGGTCAAGAAGGTAAAGGTGATTGTGAATTGACACGCTTTTCACAGAAACGGATTTAGTTTTTGTTTAGAAACTTGGTTTTGAATTGAAGTAAGAGCAGTCTGTACATGAAAGTGCTCTATGCCCCTGGTGTTACAGCCAGTAATTCAGTAGGTTAGTTTTAAGTGATATAATGTTGCTTTTGGGTTTATTCCTGGATGTATTTTCCTCCCTCCTTGGGTGTAAAAGAGCATTAAAAAATGCTGGGTGGATTGGATGATTGTTATTAACATTGGTAATTCAGGCATAGTTATAGATCTTTTTTTTAGCCCACGATTTGCAGTCAGAAACAGGAGAAGTAGGGGAAGTGCTAAGGTGAGGTGAGAGGAGACAAGTTCTGTGTTAAAAAGGAGGAGGAAAGAAGGAGAGGGATCGCTACTTCTGCCCCAGTTTGTTGAACTAATCCTGTACTTTTTCTACTAGTTGAAATGAAAGTTGTTCAAACACCACAAGTCACTGTCTTCTCCCTGGTGAACTGTTTACTTTAGAAATGAGGTTATTGCATCTGGTGTAATTGATTCCTGCAATACGTATTTCTTAAAGATAACTCCCATGGAGACTCAGCATACCCAAGGCAGGTGCTTTGATCTACAGGACAACGATGTGTTAACAACATGAAAAAATTATTCTGGCAATTCACATGATGTAATTGAATGTAAACACTGTGTGCAACCTAGTTTTGTTTTCTAAAGCTGATCTCTTTGATCTGACTTACATAAGGCTCTGAATTTCTGTCCATTTTTTCATTGTCCCATTTTGAAGTATTTCTCTGATATTTATCTGAAATTTAGGATCAGTTATGTCCACATAAAATGACTACTGCACATCTACTGGTAGACTCCAGATATTTCTGGATTGAAAGATGTATAGCTGTTTAAAAACTGTACGGCAATACATTTGGAAGAGAAAATGGAAAAGTTGCACCATGTTTGAAACTACAGATTTAAAATACTGACACTAAGGGATTTAAATTACTGATAAAGGCAGTAGACGCAAAGGAAAGTTATTAATCTGCACTTCATGAAATAAAAAGGCATAAATCTTTTCTGGTGAAAAGGGTAAGATGTGAATGGGTTTTGTGCTGTGGTGGGGGTACGGCGTAGAAAGGATTTGGCTGAAAATTATAGCCATTTAGTATCTGAAAGTTTTGTGATCTTAAATGCATGACTCACTAGCAAAAATTTATCTTCTTGCATTTTCAGTTTCATTCCACTTACTAATCTCTTCACAGTGGGATGCAAGCTGTTGTCTGACTGGCTCACCCTGACAACGGTACTTAGAAAAATCATAAGAGCTTGTATATATGCAGTACAAAAGAGTTATCCGGTAGTTAGCTTGCTGCTGAGATTCTTTTACTTTCTGGGTTGCTAGTTTATATCCTCGAGGCATTTTGAGAGCATGGTTAGTAATTTTTCCTCTCTTTTTAAGATCTCAACTCTAAGTCTACCTCTTCCTCCAAAAAAATTGATTGGAAATATGGAGCGTGAATTCATAGCTGAAAGACAGAAGGGACTCCAGGCCTATCTTGATGTAATTACTACCCATCACATCCTGTCTAACTGTGAATTGGTAAAAAAATTCTTGGACCCAAACAGCTATTCCGTAAACTACACTGGTAAGTGAGGAATTGCAAAATTGTGCATCTTCCATTAATGCTGGCATGGATTTACATCGAAGCGTGGGGGGCGGATGGGGGGCACAACCTTCAAAATTATCACTCTGTGCATGTGCTTATTTATGATAATGTTTCTCCTACTCTGCATTAATCACGCTGCGATTGCCAAATCAAAATATTTGAATTATTTTCCAGAGGAGTGATGAGGGCCAAGATCTATATAAGCAGAACTTGGGCGAGTGTGTGTGCTTGGTGAGAGTGACATCTACTTTTTCACAGGTCGTGATAAATGGAGAGGGTTGGTGTTTGGAAATTATTTGTCTACCAGAGAACAGGATGAAATTAAGTTTGTCAGCTCTGCGTTTTGTTAGAACAGCCGGTCTTCTGAACACTGAAACTTGTGTTCGTCATGGTTCTGAGATTTTCAAATCAACAGGAACAATTGTGGTCATCTTGTCTAGCTCCTGCTGTCACTTTGGGTTGTGAGACTTCCTAGCACGAACTGTTTGAGCTAGGTTGAGTACTTTTTCAAGGCTTGAGGAGTCACACACCTTCTCCCCCCAAGTACGGAAAATCACTGCGTCCCTTAAAATGATATCCCAGTGATCATTTCTCTTCATTATTAAATGTTTCTTCTTTGAATTTGTCTGACTTCAGCTTCAGCCACTGGAAATTGTTAAATATTTGTCTTACAGACTGAAAAAAACACTTCCTCTTAGTGATGAAACCCACTCCATAGATTCGGTTCATGGGCAAAATGACTCTTTGCAAAATGCAAAGCTTGTTTTCATAAAAGCAGAGCTTACTGAAGCAGGAACTTACTGTTTCCTTTTCACTTGTATTTTTGCTCTCCCTTTATGTAACATTCTCGTATCTCCAGCTTCAAAGTGCAAAGAACATTTCCCGGATGTTTATGATAAGCTGTGGAGGAGTTGTAAATTATTAGTAACTCTTTAAGGATGCAGTTTGTCTGTCTAATGCTGAGCAAGCAATTGAAATGCTCTAGGAGACACTGTGTGACTTCTGTGTTAGTTCTGAGAGCTTTCATCACAATTGTTTTTTTCAGGGAAGTTAGCAGCAATGAACTCACTGTCTACGGTCCTTGCAAACACCATCAGTTTGTCTTTTTTTAAATACTGGAGCAGTGAGCTGATATTTATTGCGCTGTTCTCTCTCTTTTCCTAGCCTGTTTTTGGAGAGAGAAGATATAGTGCAGAAAGATCAGTGCATCCTTACCTTTTTACTGTGTTTTTATGCCAAGATAAGCCATAGTAGAGAAAATTCCCTGTTGGCATGATTCCCTTTCTTCCTCTGCTGTCACCACTTCTCACTGAGATTTCCCCTCAAATCGCTTCATGAATAAGCCAGTTGTGTTCCCAGCTGCGGGAGAATTTGGTAACCAGAAGGGTGACTTCCCCCTCTCCCCTGAAATACGTGTTGGATCACAATAGCTAGCAAAATACCTTTGCCTGCACAGAAAAGGACAGGTTAACACCTAGTGAAACAAACTGATGAGTTTACATGTAATAACGGCAATGGAGATGCACATTAAAGAGACGTAAAAGTGTTAACTTTTTACAGATATAGCAGAAGCATTTTGTGATCTAATGTAGTGTGGGAAATCTTTGGATTTGGATTTGGACTTGGAAGTGTAGATCTAGTACAGACAGAATGCAAACTCAATAAGCTAAGTTTTTTGAAGGCAGTGCTTTCTCTGTTTTCTCTGTGGATTTGAGTTCTCAGGTTAAAAATGCAAATGCCCTCTAACTGTGTTTTTATCTGATTTCCTTTTAAAGTGATTTTGCTGACTTTCAGTCTGAATCCCTGCAGGCTTCCTTCTGGCATTGAACCTTACCTAACATGTGAATCATTATCTTAAATAGTCTCTTAAAAACTTCTTTTTTTTTTTTTTTCTTTCCAGAAATTGCCTTACAGCACGTTTCAATGTTCTTCCGATCAGAGCCAAAGTGGGAAGTGGTAGAACCATTAAAAGATATAGGTGAGAAGAGCATGTATGCATGAAAACTTGCCTGATATTTTTTTCCAACTCTACGAGTTGCCCTAAGATTACAATACTTTCTTTGCTTACAGACCTTGTCCTGCCTGTAAGCCACCTGATTTAGTAGTGTTTTAATTAAAGCTGTTGATGACTCTTCTTTTGTAGGTTGGCGAATACGTAAGAAGTATTTCTTAATGAAGACTAAGAATCAACCAAAGGAAAGGCTAATGTTAAGCTGGGTATGTGTACTTTCATCTCCTACTCAAGTTTTTCTTAATGAACCTGGCTTATTTAATTTATATTGACTACTGTGCACGAGTGACAGAGAGCTAGACTTGAGAGCTCAGGCTTTGAAAGAGCCTTGAAATCCCTTAGGTGGACGCATGGTGTGGGAGCTTCCTATGTTTCTTTCCTCTGGTGGCAAATCCAGTTTGCAAGTTTCTGTGTCTGGTCATTTGCTCCTATTCCTGCATCTCTGTTTCTTCAGTTGTAATGATGGTGACTGTAGTATAAATTTGTTTACTGAAAATAACAAGGTGACCCGTTTCAATGTGGTGGGTTTCCTTACTCAGATCTTTAGTTTTACTGACAAACCAACATATGAGAAAGGCATGAACTGCTCCTTTAAGGTAGACATGTGTTAATACCAAATAGTTTGTTGTTACTAAACGCTTGCTTGTGTTCCTGTGCTGAAATGTGCTGCCCTCTTAATTATATCAGTGTAGCTGTTGGTGAGACTTCACTGCAGAGCAGATATCACTAAAGCCTGCAGGAGGAGGGAAGTTTTTTTTTGCTGGAGAGGAAGAAGGTAGGGGTTTAAACCTTATCAGTTCACAATGTGCACAGTCCCCAAGTTTGGGGTTGGCAGAGTTCATTCGGTGCTAGTAAAGCACGTCAGATACGAAGGGAGGAAGGAGGCAATAATACTTATTTACCTTCAGACACTTTGTATTGTGAAACCATGGTCTTTTCCAGCCTCTTCCAAGTTTCTTTCTGTATGTGTAATTTCCTTGCTTGCTCTTCAAAATATACCTTCAAGCAGCTGCCTTAATTTGTGAGAGCAGAATATAGATCATGTTTTCTTTATGGAATGCAACATCTATTATGGTGCCATTCTTTTCCTATTTATTTCTAGGCTGATCTTGGCCCTGATAAATACTTGTCTGACAAAGACTTACAGTATGCTGTGAAACTTCTTTCTTCCTGTTCTGTGAGTATTACTTGAAGACTTTTAAATGGTGCCAGCACCAAAATGCTTGTCAAGAACTGGTCTTGCAAAAGCACATGTAGCCTAGCAGACATAGTTTGTAATTTTAGAGTTGCTTTCATTCAAAGATGGGTGAACCTTTTAATTACATTTCCCACACAATATGAAGTAACATGTTCTCAGCACAAATAGTAATCCTGCAGGGTTATTACAGGAGATTCAGAGTTGTTGTTAATTGTATTTTTTGCCTCTTGTGCAGTAGTGTGAGATCATGAGCTTTTATTTCAGCTCCTGAGCACTTTTAGGCTGTTAGGATAGTGCTGTCTAGGTGCAATTGCTAACCCATGTGCTGAGGTTATTTTCGGGCAGCAGTGGAAAAGGCAGCACAATGAGTGTTGTTATTTTTTCAGTTCTTTGAACTTAAGACAGGAATATCTTAGTAGAGGTACACAGGAGGCTGTACAATGTAAGCTCCTCTGCAATGCCACGTTATATATCCAATAGGCATCTCTCTCTGAAAAACAGGAGTTTGTCTCCAAAAGGAGTTTCTCTTTAAGGATGTTAAGTATGTGAGAGACTGGCTGAAAAGGATGGCATTGCAACTGGTAAACCTCTGTGCCATCTTGGAACTCAGCAGATGTACACAACAGAAGAGGCTGAAAACTAAGCTTTTCAACCCCCAAACCTCACCGAAATCGATGTATTAAACTAGGTCATGAACAGGGGGTCTTTTCCTAACTTGTAATTTCAATTGAAGTTTGTGTTGCATGTGTAATTTATTTCCAACTATGCCGTCTCATTTGGTTTCACAAAGTTGCAGGAAGTCGTTATAATAATTTCTGAAGACATAAAACTGTTATGACAGCTATTAATGCTGAGTTCCCTTATGTGCCATGGTTGTATAAAACCATGAATGAATTTCTTAGCTTAACATGACTTAAACCTGCAGTAAAGCTGCTCATGTATAAGTATTAATGGGGCTGGAGTCTTGGAGTCTTAATTTGTCTCAACTGCCAGTATGTTTTGTTAAAAAAAGATGATGGATTTTTTTTTTTTTTTTTAAATATTTATGTGGAAATTGAACAATGTTCTTGTGAAGTTTTCTTTGCATTTACTCCAGGTTAAGACTGACTAACTTGAGCAAATGTCACGGACAGAATCCAATTTATTACCTTAAATATACAATTCAGGTGGATCTTTTCTTACTTGAGCAAAAATGAATTGCAGAATCTGTCATCTAAAACTTACTTGCAGTTTCTTCTTTTGGTAGCATCCTTATATTTACAAAATCACTTTTGCCACTGCCAATGAATCTTCAGCGCTGGTTATTAGACCGTTCAGTGAAAAAGGGACGCTAAAGGACCTTATTTATAAGGTAAGGTCACCCTGCCTGCCCTCAACTCAAATGGTAGAATAATTCCTGGAATGGCCACAGGATGTCTTCTATAAAACATTTACCATTTATTTCTAAGCAAACTAAGACAATTGCTGGCTTTTCTGAGTGTGATACTTGATGTGTGTGTTTCTTTTAAAGGCAAAGCCAAAAGACCCATTCCTGAAGAAGTATTGCAATCCTAAAAAAATTCAAGGTCTTGAACTTCAGCAAATAAAAACATATGGAAGGCAAATATTAGAGGTAACTTTTTGCTTTATTTACCATCCTTTATGATTTAGGTTTTTTAGGCCAACAGGTTTAACTAGAAAAAGTAGACAAACTTTTGAACACACAAGCTTTATTTCAGTAGCAGACTTCAAAGCTAAATGTAAATTAAGATTAGCTGCTGGGAGTTGAATTTAGATGTAAATGTGTGAGGCCATCTCTGACAAAAAAAAAAAAAAAGTTGGTATGTGTGGAGCTTAAATGGGAGAGAGTTGATAATGTATTTTTTTCCTTGTGGAAAAAGAGAAAGAAGTAATTCATATCCTGCAGAACATTTGCCATAAATTCATTCTCATTAATGTTTTGTTGATTTATTAATTTTTTTTTTTTATTCAAACTATGATAGTCAGTAGAATTGTGAATTTTATGGAAGGTGTCTATAAGGCTGCTTTGAGAACCATCATTAAATGTTTGTTTTGTGAGAAATGTTACCAGTGAGATGGAAATTAATAGTCAGCCAAAGGTGATGTAGACAGAAGATCAACTTGAGCAAGCATTCCAAATAGGGGCCACATTTTTTGTGTATCTGCTTTAGTATTGGAGCATTTAAGATCTTGAGATCATCAGAGCAGCTTCTGTATTGGATTTTTTTCAGGTGTTAAAATTCTTGCATGAGAAAGGATTTCCTTATGGCCATCTTCACTCTGCCAATGTGATGCTGGATGGGGACACCTGCAAGTTACTGGATCTAGAAAATTCGTTGTTGGGACTTCCATCATTTTATCGATCATACTTTTCACAGTTTCGGAAAATTAATGTAAGATTCAGGCAATTAATTCAGCTGATGCTTGTGCCTCCCTTTATCCTCAACTTCTGTTTGTGGAGAACTAACTAGAATGAAAAAATACCTCTTTCAACCCCCTTCCTTTTATCGGAGATTTCTCCATCAACTCCCTTTTCTGCTTCCTCCAAATCACTGTCTGGCTGCACAGTTTTGTGGCAGCACATGGAGTGAGGCTGAGGGCAAAGGTAAGTAGGTAGGAGGGGAGGGCAGGTGAGTGTTTTTGTGACAACAGTGCTGGCACAAATAGAGGTAAACTGCAGTTAAGATCTTTTCCCACTCTGGTCTCGTATTTCAGAGAAATGTTGTCTAATGCACTTTTTCTCTTGTATGTCTGTGCAATGAGTGCAGGTTATTACTTGGTCTTAGCTGGGAGTAGCATCAGCCTTATCTTTGGTGGATAGTGTGAATATTGATTAGATGCTTGCAGGTGTCTAGCTTTTAAAAGCTGTTCTTCGTTTGTTTGAAGGGTGTCTCTTAACTGCAGGCTTGCAGAGCAAAATGCTATCTTCCTACAAAAATGTGAAAACAAACTTGCCCTGTTGCAGCAATACAGTTTTTTAGCCGGCATCTTGCCCTGCCTTTAAGTGCTCATTGTAATAAATTCCATACAGTATCACGAGACAGCTGCTTGCTGACCTTGCTAAACAAGTTCTACTGTGTTGTCAAAGGAACGATCAAAAGTTCATGGTTAGTCCAAATCTGTTAGTGCCATCAAAGCTCTAAGCATCTTCCAGTAAGAGGATCCATTTCTGTTTAAACATGACTCAAAAATCTCAGAAATGTGCTGTCTGGGAGCTTAGCTTGTTATGTACAGCTTGTACAAACCTAAGGAGGAGTGAAAAAGACTCTTCTAGGTTTGTTTGGTTTATATTTTTGCTGTCTTTTTATCTCTGTAGCCTGGCAGCTGGTCATATTATGAATCTCGTTCTTTCCTGTTTGACTTAGCTAGGAAAATGTGCTTGGTTGTGATTTGTATCAAAATATGGCTCTGAACTGCTGTGTATGAAAAGAGTTTACACGTTTTTACAGAACATGACTATGCTGCTGTCCCAATTGTATCGTCACGTACAGCAGTAGCTGCTTTTGTTTGAGGTGTGAAGATTTTATTTGAGCTAAAGTTGTGCAGGGGAATGGTTGTGGTTACAAACTGTCTTAATGGTTCCCCTTTTCTATCTTCAAATGAGAGACCACTCCCTTTCTTTAATGGGTTATTGCATGTTTTCAAACCAGTTGTGAAAACTTGATTAGTTCTAGCAAGTTGGGTTTTTATTTTGTTGTTCCTCTACAGACTTTAGAAGGTGTTGATGTACATTGCTTTGGGCACTTACTGTATGAAATGACGTATGGAAGACCCCCAGATACAATTCCAGTAGACAGCTTCCCTCCTGCACCATCGGTATTTGTTGGTGAGTACACAACCGAGACAGTGGCAGTCTCAGCTTCCTGGGTACCCTTACCTTTTACCTAAGCTAAAGTGCTGTAAAATAGCAGCCCAACAGCTTTGGAGCCTGTGACCGCAAAGAATCGCTTAGTAATTTTTAAAAAACAGAAGATGTGTTCTTCCTGAAATATATGTAGCATATAAGTATTTTTTTAATGGAGTGATAAAACAGTATGTAGTAAGTAATTAGATGTCTGGTTTCCCTCGCCTCATGTCTAACATTCTTGAAAAGTTTGTATGTGTAATAGTAACACTATAATAAAAAACACATGCCATGGAGCTTCATCACTTTTTAGCTGATGCAGTGCTTAGGGGGACATCATGCAGCAGTGCCAGATGTTCATTCTAAATCATTTGCTATCCTGCAGTGCAAAAATGTGTTCATTCTTATTCTTTCTTTGGTAGCGTCTGTGTTGGAATCCATTCTGACCTGTGAAGCTATGAAGAATGGCATGCCAACTGTTTCACGGCTCTTACAGATGCCGTAAGTCTGGTTTTACTTGTTTTATACTCATAGTGATGTTTTAAATTATATTAGGAGGAAGAACCTTTTTGCTCTTGTTCCTTTTTAGAAAGATTTACTCCTCATTCTGAGGCATGCCGTGTGTCCCAAATTAAGGTTTAAAATTGATAGGCTTTATAGAATCTATCACTTGGTAGATGCTCATTTAAGATTTCTTTCTCTCTTGGTGTGTTGGAGCTGTCATGAATGCATTTAGCATGGTGCTATGATTTAAATTGATCCAGCTGTTAAATTAGTGCAAGTGTGATTGAGATCAGATACAGATTGTTTCAAAGCATTTAGAATAAGGAGTCTTTTTGCATGTCCCCTCCAGATCTACGTCAGTAGATTTTGCTATCAGTTTACTTATGACTAGCAAAATAGAACCTCTTGCTTTGCTCAGCAGTGACATTTAGACTGGGTCTGGGTATGAAATGTTACGTCGTACAAGTTCTGGCTGGTTTGCAGGGCTGGCTTAGGGATTCTCTGAAGCATAGACAGAATATATTTCCTTAGAGGCTGCCCTCCCAGGGACTCAGTGAAGTGGTGAAGGCAGGTATAGAGCAAGATCAGGATGCAGAAAGGGAGCAGTGTCAGTGCACGACTGAGCTGGAGCTCCAACCTGTCTGCAGTGCCACCCTTCCTGCAATTAGGAGACAATATTAACCCGGGAAATTGCCTGCTGTCACTGTGCTGGGACATGTCACCAGCGTGCTGAGCATAAAGTCACAGCTCCTGGTGGGGGATTCTTTTGTTTTTTCTTAATACGAGGTGCCAGAGTCACAACCTTATAAATGACATAGGTTGCCCATACCTAAATCTGGGTCTGATCTCACAGTACACAGGACATTTAGAGCAAGCTCCAAGGTTTGTGTTTCCTGGTTGGGAAGAATCACTGCAGGCTTGTCTCAGCCTTAATTCCTTCTACTCCTCCCTTCCTCTGCTCTTAAAGATGTTGGGAGGTAGAGAGGAGAATGTAAGCAGGGAAGAAATACTATAAGAAAAATCTGTGAATACAGGAATATACAGGTGTTAAAAGATGTTGAGCAAACAATCTGTGCCCAGCTGTCTCTGATATATAGGTCTATATACTACCTTCCCTCATACCAATAATCTTCACAAGTGTTCTATGTAGATGTGCAATGCTATTAATGTAATTTAAATATTTATTAAGCTTTTCTATTTATTATAACCGTGTAGACTATGAATTTGCTGAATTTTGCAAGTACACGTAATCAGACTGGGTCAGAAAAATGCCCTGTAAATATGTGATTCATGGGTTTTTAAAAAATATTTTAAAATTTGTTTTTTATCTGAATTTTTCATGGAACACTGTTCTTATAAACTTGATTCTAGACTTGCATTTGTTTTCTCTAGTATAGGCCTGTGATAATTTTCCATAGTGAACAGCAACAAAAAAATCTCTGAAATCTTTGTCTCAGAGCCAGGCTTGAGGTCTCTTTCTGGGACAGTTTTCTAGTATGTTCTCCAGAACAAAGTATCTAGAAATGGACTAACCAGTTTATTTTCAGACTACCATTGCCCTCTAGTGTCTTTGTTTCGGATAGAAAAGGATTAATGATTTATGCTGTTGCTGCTGGTACCACAGATGGGAGAGCAAAAATATTAGAATATTTGCTTTGGTTTCTTTTGCCAGAGTACAGACAAGAAAGCAGATATTTTCAGATGTTAAGTTCACTCATTGATCTTTCACGAGATTCTTGTTAATACTAAAACAGCAGCTGTGCTAAGACAGTTTTCTGAACAAGAACAATGATTTTGTTTAGGTGAAATTTCAAATAAAGTCCCTGGTAATCTTTTGTCGTTAAAGAATCCACATACTTTTAAGGAAAAGGCATTTTTGTTCTGGGGAAGCTCTTCTCTGTCTTTGGTAATTGTACCTGTTCTATCACCTTTCAAAAAACTTCACACAATCTTGCTTACTCTGCCATCAGTAGGTACATTCTGAGGGCTAGATGCTGCTAATTTTACAGCAATGCTTGGAAAATAAAAAGCAGTACATAAAAACCTGTGGAAAAAACCCAAACAGTGGCCTAGAGATGAGGACAGAGAAGGAAAAGGAGAAAGAGGGAGTTAAGAGAGAACAGTACCAGTAGTATTGTTGCTATAGTTCTGCTTGTCTCTTGGGAATAATATTCCTTTTCTTTTTTTTCCCCTTTTTTCATTCACTCAGATTATTCAGTGACGTCCTGCTAACAAACTCTGAGAAACCACAGTTTAAGGTAGAGTTGAATCTTGATTTGCTGATGTTTGTGGAAATGCCAGGCTGTGGGTAACTATACATTAATTGACAGATTGGGGTAGAGGAGAGCTGGCTTTATGGCAATTGCCATCAGTATTTAGGTTCCTTTCCTGAATTGTACCCAAGAATGTTGTATCACCCCTTAGAAGGGGTACATGGTGTGACCCATGAGTCGTCAACTGCAGTTCCTGTTCAGGAGTTCATTTGCATGACTAATGATGGCCTTCGATCTGAGCAGAGGCTGCTAAGTAATGTGGGTCCCTTGCAGTGGGAGGCAACAAATTGCTAAGACCTGTGGAAACTGATTTTGCAAGGTGCTACCATCACCACATTGTTGCCAGCTCCAGCTCTGGTGCTGGGAGGTTTGGGGAGCCACATCTGCTCCCCGTGGGGAGCTGCCCCAGAACACTTCTCCTGGAGGGCATGTGCTGCATGTGTTGTGTTGTCAGCCTTGTGGCAGTTTGGGGTGTGACCTGAGTATCAAAATAGTTAGCTGTCCCTGCCATCAGAGTATCCCTTCCATTATTCAGTCCCTGGCCCCTGCTGTTAGATCCGTAGCTAGGTTTGGAGTAGAAAACATGCATCTAGATTCTTCTTTTCGCCTTCACTAAGGGAATAGTGTCAGTACTTGGGACTTTAGATGGGCAACAGGATCAGATGAATGGTGAACTTTTAGGAGGCAAGTTATGTTTTCCTTTATCATATTTTGTGTTTGATTTTTTTTCCCCATTCTGTATTAGATTCCTACTAAGCTAAAAGAGGCATTGAAAATCTCCAAGGAATGCATAGAAAAACGATTAACAGAAGAACAGAAATTGGTAACGTCTGCATTTCTTTACTGTATTTCCTACAGATATTCCATTTCCTCTTATCACTCTGACATGGGGAAAGTGAGTTTTTACTCACTCAGAAGTGATAAAGGCTTTCATCAACAGATTTGCTGAGGAGTTGTAGAACAGCTGTTGACTGTATGGAATTTAACTGTTTTAACTGGTGCAGCTTTACAGGCAGTGGCTCCTAAGTTAAAGGAGCATTTTAGCTGCAGTAATGAGGCTCCATCCACTACCAGCAACAGCAAAGATAAAAACTGAAAACGAAAAAAGAAAACTAAACACATAGAGTGACTGCAGTGTGTTTTCTTACACCCCAGACATATGCCTTGTCTCAGAACGTTTAAGATCTTAACGTGGTCTTTTTTTTGTTTTCTCTTCATTTTGAAGATTCACCAGCACAGAAGGCTGACAAGAGCTCAATCTCATCACGGCTCTGAAGAAGAAAAAAAGAAAAGGAAGATCTTAGCACGAAAAGTAAGCAATCTCTGAATATAGAAAAAGACATGTCTCTTTTTTGAATGTTTAGCCTGCACAGCCCCGGGTGTGCAGGTCTGTTCTGTCCTGTTTTTCTGTACTGCTTCCTGGTTTTCACTTCTGTAGCTTCACTTCCTGAGAACTTTAAATTACAATGGTAGCTGACTTGCATATTGGTTTAACCTGTTGGAGGCTGCTGTATGAAAACAGGCTTTGTTAGCACCTCACGCACCGCTGACAGCCTGTGCTGCTTCCTGCTGGGGGTATGGGAGCCGTTTTCAGCCTGCTCCTGCAGCACGCTGCCTGTGTTTCTCTGCCTTTTTGTGGGTCAGTTTTCTGCCTTTCCCTTGTGGTCAGAGGACACTGGAGTTGCCCCGCTTGCTTTCCTGGAGGTATCTGAACAGCTTTGCTGCTGATGTCATCGTGGGAGCACGTGTGGGTGTGGGGAGAGGGATGCTGAGCATTGATAAACCTTGTGTGATCCAGTGGATGGCTGTTACAAATCTGTGTGTCAGTTCATTCCTTATCATGGAAAGCAATTATTTATTCGCACCTTCTGTTTCTTCTGCTCTTTTTTAAAGAAGTCAAAACGCTCTGCCTATGAAAGTGGGGAAGAACACTCAGCAAAATACAGCAACTCAAATAACTCAGGTAACTACAGAGAGAAGAGCTTGCTTCTACACAGCTATGTCAATGTTTTTGTTGTTGGTGTCATTTTCTGGCTTAAAAGATCCAGGGTCACCATAAATTTACACATTAATATTGGACTACCAGAGCCTGATACCACTGTTTTGGCTATTTAATAATAGATAAATCTAGGACTGAAAAATATTGTCAGTGTTAGATTTTCAGCTGTGTATTATAAAGTGATGTGGCCTCTCTTCCATGCGCCATTCCTCCAAAAAGAAAAAAATCAGTCTCTTCATTCTGTTTGGCCTTTGAGACATCCGTTATTTAGGCCATTTAATAATGTAGCCTTCAGAGAGAAACTGTGGTGATCTGTATTCCGAAGTAAGGTGTTAAGATGAATAAGAAAATTATCTGTTTAATTGGTCCTTCAGTGCCAAATTCTAAAACAACAGAGCCTTTGACAGGTCTTAATTTAGTTAAAAGGAATGGTTGGTACTACTGAACAGTTTAACAGAGTTGACTTGCCTGGCTAAAATGTGTCCAAAAGCAGCCTAGTGTGGAATAGTCAGATGTCAGAGTAACTTGTGGAGTACAGCAACTGACTGAAAATCATCTCTTATAAGGAGAAATGGGGTGGCGTCCAGGCAGTGGCACAACTCTTAAGGAGAACAGAATTTGGACGCTGAAATCCAACAGCCTAAGCAACAGAAAAGAAGTGTTTCCCATTGAGGAATACTGTTGAGCGCGCTTCTTATATCTTTGGAGCTCCTCTGATACTGTGTACTCTTAAGTCTCTGGTCTGATTGGGTCTGAGTGACACTGTTTGTATGAATGGGAATCTTTCCCAAGATTTCAGTGGAAGCAGGATTGGATCTTCAGTCAATAAAGTTGGCCTGTTTCCAACAATCTGTCTTGTCTGACTGTGTTGAATTTTAATGTCACAGCTTTAGTTACTAGACTGTTGTTTTATTTAGCAGGCTCTGGGGCGAGTTCCCCATTAACATCTCCATCATCCCCCACTCCGCCCTCTACAGCAGGTAAGTTCAAGAGTCATTACAGTATTTGTCTTTTTCTTTGTTTTCTGTTCACTCCCCCCCAAGCTGTGGGTGTTATTCCCAAGGATGGCTAAGGGATGGTGGTTTCCAAGGATGGAACACACAGATGACATTTATCTTGTGTCCGCCTGAGTGTAGGCATTTGCTCTCTTTTGAGGGCCACAGAGAACGTCTTAATACTGTTCTTTTTCATTGAGTAACTTTTCTTGAGATACATGTGGTATGATTTACCCATAGAGTATAAGGGCTTGCTTCAAAGTCTCTATTACTGCAGTCTTACTGACATTTCTACTCTCCAGACATTTTCTAGCCCTCATGTTGCAGTATGCATTTGTGCTGATGTTAGTGGTCTGTTTACTCTGAAGTACTGTTTGTTGAGCTCTTGGTTTTGCGTATTTTCCCTGTATTTGTGTATCTTTTGTGTATCTTTACCCTGTATTGTTGTGATGTAGTTTCAGGAATTTGAGGTGTGATGAATTCAGTGGCTCAGGCTGCTTAAATCTCCTCTGTTCTGCTCCAGCCCATTGATAACACCAGTAGAACTGTTAGGAATAAGTCAGAAACTGATTTGGGTTAAAAATAATATCTTTATTATTTGTGGCCAGTTCCCTCTTCCCATTTGCTAGTGAAAACAGTTTTTCTAATGTTTAGGCCAGGTGGCGGGAAGTGGTGAAGAACCTGCTTGAGTGGGCAATAGAAATGCTCGTGACAGTTTGATTACAAATCTGAAGATGAGCAATAGAGGCCATGGTTCAGTCCGAAAGGCAGGAGAGAGGCACCAGCAAAGATTAACAGTGAAAGATGATAATGGAATACGTTTCTAGAAGGGAAGCAGTCCATGGCATTGCTGTTTGTTATGATGACTCGCGCCATGGGATTCCTAGTCCCAGGAACTTTCTACGGAGCACAACTTGTTAACCGAAGTGATGCAAAGCAAATTTGTGTTTGCTGTGGATGGTCTTTTAAAGGACACTACAGTCTGTGTGATGTAATTCAAATCAGTCATGCTGAAATTCAAATTAGTCATTTCTCCTTCAAATGGAGGGTATATTGAAGTGTATATTTTATGAAGTAACTTCTCCCAGTTAGTCTAAACAAGATAATTACTGTTATTGTGTTACACAATGACAGCACTGTTCTGTGGATATACTGACTCTTAGCCTGGAGGGTTTATTTCCAGTTCTGTCTGCTTTAATAAGGAAGTAGCTGAAAATACAACAAAAACCTTATGCCTCCAAAACCGAGAGATGTTTAGAAAACACCCCCCCCCCCCCGCCCCCTGCAATAAAACTACTCTTTACTTAGATTTTTAACTTCAGTGTGTTGGAATTTGGTTGAAAGCTTTTTCCAGTTTTGAGCATGTGATGCAGGTTTACGTGTAGACGTGGCTCAAGTGGCTAAAAATAGCTCAAGTTTGGGCTCAAAACTTGGCTCTGTTGTTCAAACCTCATTGTCACAGTGTGTTGGTCATCCTGCTGCCAGTGTGCTCATGGTGACTGGTGGTGATCAGCCCCGTCTGACACTGTGTGTGTTGCCCTACCCACGTTCAAACTGGAAAGTGCTTCAGCGTGCTGATGGCTTTGATGCACCTTCAGACCTACACATCTTCAGGTGTGAAGGCAAGTGTCACCATTCCAGGAGTGCTTTTGTGAGTAGAATTCATAGGAGAAACTTAAGATATTTGTTCGAAGAGAAAGCTAGTGAGCCTAATTATTTTTTTTCACCAGCAACGTTGTCGTTTCATCTATTATAAGCAAGTATGCTATAACTGACTCGATGAAAGACTCACTGGCCCCATGGTAGGACTTTCTATGTGACAACTGCTACATCTATAGCCTTTCTCTCTCTCCCAGTTTCCTTGTACTTACTAAGGATATTTACCTTTAAATCAAAATTGCTTGTGGCTGTTGGTGTGGTGAGATGGCTGTCAGAAGGGGAATGAGGTTTTCAATCTGTCTTTCTGGTTTGGTTGTGGTTGCATTAGAACCATGGCATGTCAGAGCATCTTGCTGAGACGATGCCATGGTATCCATGGAAAAGTGTACTCAACAGAAGCTCGTGCCCTTTTCCTGGCCCCTGACTGACCAAATCAATGTAATGTGTGGATGAGTATGTGCAGAGCCGGAGACACCAACCAGAGGGGAACAGGCTCCAGGCTGACATGAGGGGGTTTCTCACACGTTGAGAGGTGCTTTGTCTCTGAACCAAAGGCCTTGGGAGACTTGGCTTGCAGTAGAGTGCTTGGTGTAGCCAGTGCAAAACTTACTAAAAAAGAAAATGATCGCTGTCTTCAGCTGTCTTCATAAGGATAGCTGCAACTGTAGGATCTATTGCACAACCTGCTTTGAGGGGAAAGGTGTCTCCTGGAAGTGCAGGCTCTCGTGGGCATTTCTCATTGACTAGAGTTTTGGTCTGGTTTTGTTGCAGACACCCAGCTGAATAACATCTTTGAAATAAAATTGTTTAGATCGTGACAAGTCATTCTAACATTCCCGTGTTTCTGACATTCTCCCTTGAATGTTTGATTCTTTTTTCTCTATTTGCACAATTCTTTGCTTTCTTGAAAATCTGGGTTTTTTTTTAATTTGTGGCTATGAGCGGTGGCTAAGATCAGAAGGGACACAGAACACCGTGGTGTGGGTTATTTAAAGCTTCACTGTGTCTTCTCTAAATCCAGTAAGCCCGTAAAATACCAGCGAGCTCTCTTACAACAGAGCAAAGTTTGGAGGGCGCCATTTTTGCTTCCCTGTGGGGACGAAGTGAAAGAGTTGTACTTAACTTTAGCTATCTTTTTCTGTGCCAGTTGTTCTGAATCCTTCAGTACAACATATGTTTCACAGAAACCCACGTGGTGCACCTTTTCTGCCCTTCACCTTTCTGTAAGGCAATTTGAATGCTTTAGTAAGTGCTCTTCTTGAGTGTCTTGGACCCATGCGGCGTAAGTGTAAATATGGGTGTTAACACGACAGGAGGTGTTCCTTGAATGGAATGGATTTCATCTTCTATGGCTAATCTTCCGGCAGATTTCTGGCTAAATCTCTCTAAATGCACTTTAATCCTGTAAAGCTTGAATTATGGCATGTGCAGCCGAAAGCATGTGTGTTTTATTTGTTCATCGAGTATAATAATGCTTATAGCATGGAAAATTGTGGTTCGTTACTCAGAATCAGACAATGTGTTGTATATGTAATATGAAATAGTCAATCTGCTATCCTCATATTTGTCAGTGAATAAGAATGTATTGATTTTTATACTAACTTTTCAGCTAACAGTATCTGTTTTTCTTACTTTGACACGAGAACCGGATGATTAACTTGTGTCCTCTCTCTTTCTCTGCTGTCTTCAATAGAGCATGCATCATTTTGAACGTGAATTTTCGGAAAAGTAAGCTAATGCTGATTTATCTCTTTAAAGATGCTCTGTTTCTGTATGGGAAAGTTGAATGCAAATCTTGAACTTGCTTAGTACTGGGAGGGAATAGAAAAAAAAAATCTGAACGTTCTTATGGATTATTTTAATGAAATACAGCATCTTTAAAAAATCTATCACTAAAATAATTTTCTTTGTTTGCATCCCATTCTCCGCTGAGTTTTTAATGCTGTTTGCACAATTACTGTCACTTTAAATTCATAATTAAGTTTTTGTTTCAATTCAGGCATCAAGTTTACAGCATCTGATTTACTTCCTATTCCTTTTAACACACTCTCTTAACAAAAATGTCCCTGTAAAAAAACCTTGGTAAGTTCTTGTTTGAGTGTTTTATTCTTACAACTGCATGAATGAGTAAAATGTGTGTTTTCAGGCAACTTCTTCCAACATATGTACTGGAAAGATCTAGTGATAACTGAGGACTTGTCTCAAACATATTTTCTACTATATACAGGAAAATATTTCACTTTTGGGCAGAACAATTTAATCTGCAGATGTAACTGCACATGAGTACACCCAGGTGAACTAAGATTTCCTTTGCACCACTCACGTCAAGAAGAGAAGGATAGCTTGGTTTTGATTGACTAATTGAAATTAATCAATTTGAAGATTTTCAAAATCATGCTCTTAATAGATGGGTTCAATATGTAATACTCATCATTAGTCAGATTCCATCCTAAAAACTGTGTATATTTATGTTTCAAAGCAGAGCTGGGGTGTGGGAGTATCATTGGCTGTAACCAGTCTCCCGAGAGTTTAACTGTATGATGTTGTTGGCAGCTCAATTTCAGTAATAGTGAGTCCTGAGGAATTTAGCAGTTTTCCAGGAGGAAAGGTGGGCTCTCCCCCTACTTCCCTATCTTTTCTACCCCAATTGCAAAATAACCAGGCTAAATTTGAAGACAACACATGGAATCTTGGCCTAATAATACTTAGTGATCCAAGCATTTGAGGCTTTTCGCTCCCCTCTCTGTCAAAAGTGTACCTTCTTTCACTGGATACGTTACTGTTGTATTTGTATTCCATACAGAGCCCTGCCCACTCTCTTCATGGTCATTCCCCACTGCGTCTGGTACAACTACTTGCAGCTTCTTCAACCTCAGCTTGCAATTGCAGCCAAAAATCATGGCTTTGTTCTCTGCAGTTCTTGCATCTCTTTCAAGCCGTTTCGTATATGATTAGCTGGTCTTGGCCCTCTTACAGCAGTTCATCTGATCAGCTTGGTGATAGCGTTGGTTCACCAGTCCTACAGTGCTCTGCTCTGACCACTTTAACCACAAAGTGGTTATTTTAACCGTTCTTGGTCTTGTTCTTCCTTTGGCAAAGTGTCAAGATTTGCTTTGCTGCACTTTGCTGGCACTCCCTACACACGAGAAACAGAAGGACACTAACCTAGGGGATGGCTTTTCAGTATTTCTAATAATAAATTGACTTAACAATCTTTGGCTAGTGTAAATAGTAGATTTGGATAAGTTAGATGGCCCCAAGGCTTCAATATGCAATTTATTTCAGTTTGTGCTAACATTGTGTAATGTTTTGATTGCTTAAGAGAGCAGTTGATCCACATGCAACAGGCATGTTAAATCGTTTCAGTCGATCTCTGCTATTTCTGCTAGGACTTGAGTATTTCCTCTGGAAGGGAGGAGACCCAAGATGAACCCAATATGTATTTCCATGTTTTGTTGCCACAGAAAGTTTTCATGCCAATGAGAATTTCTCCTGAGGAGTTGGAAGTGCTACAGTCACAGCATGTATGAATGTACACTGGCAAAATTGAATGCTTTGTGTTAATACACTGTGCTTTGAGCTTGCTCCCATACAGGAAAGGTCTCTCTTCAAAGACTGGTACAAGTAGAAAATGAGGGAGCTTTGAGCTATGACTTTCATCTAGTATAACTGCATTTTTTAATTGCAGCAGTTATTTTTTTACTATTACTTGTTAGTCTGAGAGCGTTAAGTGAGGAATTGAGAGAGAAGTGGAACACAGAGAACTTTGCCTGCTTTTTTTTTTTTTCCTGTACCTGAGCTTTATTCTTCATCAAATACCTTGAGTCCATGTGCCATAATGTCCTTTAACTGCTTTTTATTTGCTTACTTCATAGCTAGCAGTTCTACTTCTGTAGCCATAGCCTCTTGGTTGACCTCATGTTGTTTTGTGTTGTATCATAGCCCTTTCCCACTTACTGGCATATTCCTCTTTGTAGGTCAGAGCTAACAAAAGCAAGTGTTAGACTAGAGGTGCCACCTGTCTCTGTAGTCTTTCTATGGAATAACTTATGATCTAGGTGATAAGTTAAAACTCACTGTTGAATAGTTCTAAGATATTAGAACTTGCAGAATATATGAGACAAGACAGCCCCATCGTTCCCCATGTGGCTGGTGAGGTGCCAATGCCACCTTCACGTGGGTCTCTTGTGGAGCGGCGAGGGGTCACCTCTGAAGCCCTTTGCTCTTAGTCCCACATGGATCTTTGATTTTACTTATGTACGGTGCAATGTGCAGCAGCTGAGTTGCACAAGATCGGGATGTTTGGGAGAGCTGCTTGGGGCAAACAAGGCCACCTGCCTGGACCTGAGCTGCCAGGAGGCACCTCCACGCAGGTCCTCGCTGCCGCGTGCCTGCCCCACTGCAGACTCTGACTTCCCAGGGAGTGAGGACAGAAAGGCTGAAGCATGATGAGAAGCACCAGATGGATGTGATGGGGGTAGAAAGCAAGGGACAGCACAAAGGTGGGGGCACGAGAGGCAGCAAGAGGGGCGAGAGCCAGATGGTTGTGATTCATTCAGACTGTGAAACAAGCGTTTGTTACAACATGTTTGGAGAAAGTCTGAAAGTACCGTGGAAGTGGGAAACACTTCCAGAAAACTCTATCTGCAGTTTGTGCTTTAAAACTAGAATATAATCTGACCAAGCGGTCATCAAAAATACTGCAGGAGTGTGGTCCTTTGTAAGAATGTGAAGTTAGTCATGTAAATAAGAGCAGGTAGTGAGATTTGCTTCCAGTCTCTTGTTACTGTTCATGACCCAAAGAGCAAACTGCATCACTGGGGACAAACAAGAGAAACCAAGGCTGGGAAGTCCTGTTAAGTGATCTCTGTTTCCCTCAGTGCAAGATCCCATTTGAGTCATGTTTTCATCCCTGAGTACTGAGGCACGTCAGGCTTCGTTTCAGAGATGTCTTGAGTGACACAACTCACCTGCAGATAGAGGGATTTGATCACTCTGGCATTTTTCATCCGTTCTGTTCTTCACACTCCACTGCCACTCAAGGAATGACATGGCTAGTGCAGGACTGACCGAGTCCAGCTGGGCTGCAGTCTTCTGCAGCAGGACCTTCTTGACATAATCAAACTACATCTTCTCTCCTCAACTCAACAGGAGCATCGTTGATACCCCCAGCACCGCCACCGCCGCCCCTGCCACCAGCAGCTCCTCCTCTGAGCACAGAGGTGCCAGCGCAGCCGAGCCCGCAGCCCCACGTCAGTGCAAGCCGAGGAGCCTTGCTCAGCTCCATCCAAAACTTTCAGAAAGGAACTCTGAAGAAAACACAGACCTGCGACTACAGCGCTCCCAGGATCAGCTGAGGCCACTGGTCACCCCAGGATTGAATTCCCTCTCCCCCTCCTGTGCTGTCCAGGAACAAGACCCTCCCGACCACCGCCAGACCCACCAGCACACAGCGGCTGATCACGCTGTAGCGCCGTTTACCCCCATTTCAGCTTTTTTTGAGCGGCAGCACTACCCCGTCTGCATCGCGTTGCCACGCTGTGATAAGTACTCTGTTCTTTCCTTGGTTTCAAGAACTTTGTTCTCTAGCTTCAGTTTCAGGGGAACAGCAACTTCTATAAAGCTGAATAAAAACCTGCAATAGGAATGACCATGATCATGAATTAATGCATTTTTTTCTAGTTCTATTCCACCCCTTTTTTTCAAATTACAGGACTGTAGCTTAAGTCTGCTCAGTTTTTCAACTCTTTTCTTCATGCAGTTGTAACTCATCTTCATTCTCACTGCACTGAATCAGCAAGTTTTGTGTTAGATGATCCAACACCCTCCCTCCCCCAACCCTTAAAGCGTACTGCACAGGTGAGGGAACTGGAGAATTAAATCTTATCCCCACCACATTTGTTGGTGGAGTAAAAATGCTGTTTCATTAAACTTGTTTAAATGGACATCCTACCTGTAACTCTAAGGGAAAGTGTTTTTAAAACAGTTGAAATGGGAGTTAATAGGGCACTGGGATATTATTCATGATTTAGTTAAATGCAAAATTACTTCAAGTTAATTCTACAGCTTAAACTTTATTGAAAGATCCTTTTTGATTTAAAACCTTAAAACAAATTGCACTTTAAAGGATTATAGATAATCCATTTTTTAAATTCAAGTACATCAGTGTTTGTTACTATGCAGAGAATGTCTGTACAAAGTTTCATGTAACCTGTGATATCCAGTCATTTTTATTAAAATGTTAATGGAATTCCTTCAGCAGCGTGGTGGTGGCTAAATTCAGCTCGGATTTCACCCGCAAGCCAGGCTTCCTAAGAACCTAAGGGCACTTCTACTAACACCAATACCCTGAAAGGTATTCCCAGCCCTTGACTGAAATAGGACCCGAGCCCTTCTCCTGCTCCCAGAGGGAAGTATCTCCTCCCCAGCTGGTGCAGAGGCTGCCTGCCCGGGGCACAGACTCCTCCAGGCGGCTTTCGCTCTCCTGAAAGGTATTCCTGGCCCCTGACTGAAATAGGACCGGAGCCCTTCTCCTGCTCCCAGAGGGAAGTATCTCCTCCCCAGCTGGTGCAGAGGCTGCCTGCCCGGGGCACAGACTCGGCCCAGACCCTCTCCCAGCTCTTCCAACACAATCTACACAACTGCTACTGCAGAGCCAGGCTGTGTTTGAATAAAATAACTTATTTTGCACTGTAAGAAGTATAGTTAGAGCATGCCCCTTGTTAGCCCATGTGATGAGTGTAAAAAAAACAACCAACCAAACATAAAGCAAAGCATCCGGGCAAGTGTTTTTTTATCACTGTATGTGGCAGCTAGTGAAGAAAAATTAGGTAGTGTTTCTCATCACATACTCAAGATCAGCATCTTTATTTAAGCTCTTGTGCAGAAGCTTTCCCGCATGAGTGGAATGCTCTTCAAATTAAACACACTACCCATCTTTTAACCCACGTCACAGGCTTCCACAGCCACTTTGTGCAGTTGCACTTAACTGCAAGGCCTCACCCGCTGCAGTTTGATCATTCCCCTTTAATAAGCCTTGTGGCCATGGGCTCCTGGAGAGCTCTACAGCATCCCAGGGCTGGGCTTGGGGCCCCCTCTTGATCACTGCAGTTCTTCACTCAGCCACCACTGCAGTTTAACGCAGCTACTCTGGTAATTATAAGCCAAGCAGAAATGGAGGATTTTTTTCCTCACTCTGAATTTAGAACAGGATCTCTCCACATACAGCAGCACTAACCCACCTGTACTGTTAACAAACAAGCAATACCACATTGTTGCTTATATAAAATGTGGCTTAGAGGGTAACCCCATATAAATATGCTGGGAAGTCACTATACTGTCCCCACTGTACAAAAGTTCCATGTAGCTATACAACAGAAGTAACGCATACAACTTGCCATAGACAACTGATACTTTGTAAAGCAGGACTTTAAAACATGTATTTACAACTTAGATATTCAAAGTCTTCTTGACTGCAAATATTATATCCTTCACTTGAGGTATGCAGTTATCTTCTAAAATCTTGGCGTAAGGCATAGGAACATCTGCACCGGTAACACGCACAGCTGGAGCATCCAGGTAGTTAAAGGCAGATCCTGAAACAGAAGACAGTTGTCAGGTTACCATGCACTATGGTTTTCTCTCAATTCAATTTCTGAATTTTAATCTATTTAAACGGTTTTGTTCCTGTAGCTGTAATATTCCTGAGAGAGCTGTTCCTGTTCGTTTATCTTCATGTACTGTCATTTAGACAAAAAGTTTCCATCCTGCTTCTCACACCATTCCCGAGATAAGAATTACTTTCAACAGAAGACCAGATGAGGCTGTAAAAATCTCTAGAGCGAGATGGCAAGGCTCAAGCTCCTCAGATATAAAACCCTAACTTTGCCTTCATCTGGCTTTATCCAGAAGCCGTCAGGATTTAGACTAGGGAATGAGATCAACATGTGTATTGCAAAACTCTGTACCTTCCATGATCCTGGCACAGATTTCAGCTCCTACTCCAAACTGCGGCCAACCTCCTTCTACAGTTACCAGATGGTTTGTCTTTACAACGCTGGCTTCCACCGCTTCAATATCCATCGGTCGAATGGTACGCAGATTTATCACCTGGGGGAAAAAAGTGAGTTTTGACTGTGAGTTTTGCTACGATCCAAGCCTGTCAGTTACCACGGTTTGGGTACAGCGCCCTTTAGCACTTCAATCTATTCTGGCACTGAAGAAAAGACTTAATAAAATTTCTAACTTTTTTATTCTCACAGAAACTGTGCAAAACAGTTTCTGGTGGCTCCTGGAAAATCCCAGAGAGGTGAGTCTTGCTGTATCGAGATACAGCCACACTAATACCTACTGGGTCAATCTGAAAATGGTTACTAGTTCTGCCTTAATTTTGTGATGAGAAGGTGAAATGCAGAAACATGAAACGCACACGCTGTTAAGGCCTTTACAAACATAAGAAACTCGTAGTTAATACACTGAAGTTTCGCAGAGCCTGAACAAGAAGACCCTCTGCTTTTTTCCCCACTTCAGGGAAAGAGAAAAGCAACAGAACTCCCACCCACCTCACACTCTACACCTTCTTTGGCAAGCACAGCAGCTGCTTCCAAACAGTGTCCGACAGGTCTGGAGTGGGACACTAATGTAATGTGAGTTCCTAGAACAGAAACAAATGTTAAATTAAAAAAAATTCCTTAAGATTTAAAGCTTTTTTTCTAGACCTCAGGCTCCTTTCAAGGTAATGTTAGGATTCTCTTGTAAATTTAAGTTTGTTATGCTTACTTGAAATGCTAAGTATTCTACACCCATACATAGCATAAAGAGTGGTAGCAGAAAAGCTATGCCAAGACACAAACTTTACCCTTTAATTCAGGGAACTAAAGAGATACTTAGCATAGTTTTCAGATTTTCCTTTTCAGACAGGCATTCATATAATTCAGTGGTAAATTATGAACAAATGGGCTGAAATACTTTTTGTATTCTCTCTGTATTGTGATCTCCTTTTGTATTTTTGGCAAAAAATTACATACTTCAGTCATCAACCACTCCATCTTTACAGGAGGGAACAAGTCCTTTCGAAGGCTATAGTTTTAGATGAGATACAGAGAATCAGATGATCTTTCTTTATATGGGCAACAGAACAATAAAGTATACTACTGGAAAAAATAACATTTTACATTTCAAATATTTTTCTGTGCCCCATAACAGCAGTATTCTGAATAGCAAAGAGGTTAAAGAAGCTTACCTTGTCTTTCTACTTTAGCTTTTCCAATTGGAATAACGAAATCCTTTGACTGTGCCTGTTCAGACATTTCAAAGGGAACACCATACAGCAATTCATTTTCCAGCATCACAACTAGAAGAAAACACACTTGGATTAACATGTGCATCAGCGGGCGCAGGACTGTACTGATGAGTAACGGTACTGCAGCAGATTAGCTCAAGACACCAAGATGATCCAGGCAACAAGGACTTGAGTACGTTTGCAGAAACAATTAAAAAAATAAACCGCAGACTTGACTTCAACGCTGAATTATTTAGGACTAATTTTAGACAATTTTTAAAATGAGATCAGATAGTTAACTGATTCTAATATCTACGTGATGGTAAAATCGCTAATTTTAGAAAGGTCTTAGATTTTGCATGCATGTTTGTGAGAAATAAAAACAAAGGTTTCCCTGGTTTTAATTAATGACATTGTGAATTCGTCACATGAATTTCATGATCTGTAAAAATGAATTACATATACAATTGTATACACAGGAACTCCTCCTAATTCTTCTTCATCCTTTTTAACCCCTTTACGATAGATTCCTAAATGCTTCTAAGTTTCCCAGGTGGTACCAAACTGGCACTAAGGATATGCTGCTGGCAACAGCACAAAATTAATCTACTACTAGGCAAGATAAGTGACTGTTAGGAAAAGAATAAATACTTCTGTGCCTTTGTAAGTACCCTAAAGCTGCAGTAGAGCAACTTTTAAGTGTTTTTAGGTTTAACAATTTTTTTTTGTTGTTTTCTTTTAAATAGCACAGGAGGGGAAAACAGACATTCTCTTTGGGATTGAGTGGTATGTATTGCCACAATCTGCCTGTGCTCACCTGGATTATCATCCCGGATTGATGCTTTCAGCAGACCTTTGGCATCTTCTGAGCTCCAAGGACTAACAACTTTCAGTCCCGGGCAGTGCCCGTACCAAGCAGCGAAGCACTGCGAGTGCTGAGCGGCGACTCCAGCCGATGCCCCGTTAGGGCCCCGGAAGACAATGGGGACAGCGATGGATCCTGCAGACATGTAACAGGTCTTGGCAGCAGAGTTTATAACCTGATCGATTGCTTGCATGGAGAAGTTGAATGTCATGAATTCACACACTGGCCTCAACCCTGCCTATTGAACAGGTTAAAACATATATTAGTCTGTTTTTGTACAGAAATAGTTTAAATTCAGAAGTAAAGAAATGCAAATTTACAAACCATGGCGGCACCGACAGCGATTCCTGTGAAGCCCATCTGGAAGAGAAGGAAACCAAGGGGTGAGCACTAGGGGGGCAGCTGAAGAAGGCCCGGCCAGGGGAAGAAGATGGGGCGGCCATACCTCTGATATCGGGGTGTCGATCACTCTCTTGTCCCCGTACTTCTTCCAGAGCCCCCTGGAGATCTGCAGGGCAGGAGAGAGGAGTCAGGGCCCCGCCTCAAGCACCTTTCCCGGCCCGGTAACGGCAGCCACGCACCTTGTAGGCCCCATCGTACTGTGCCACCTCCTCGCCCAGCAGGAAGACGCGTTCGTCCCGCTCCAGCTCCTCATCCAGCGCCTGGTTCAGCGCGTCCCGCACCGTCACCTACGAGACACCAGGAGCCGGGTAGGGCGGAGGAGTCGAGTCACCTCACATCACATCACCGCTCCTCACCGCCCCAGGGCCGGGCGCTTCCCTTGAAGGGGACGAGCCCCTTTTCCCCCCCCAACCCCTCCCGCGGCGGACCCGCTACCTGTATGGCGGCGGGGGCGGAGAGGCGGAACCCCCTGCGCTGCTGGAGCAGCCGCCCGGCGGCGCGGTCCCGAGGCGGGAGACGGGCGAAGAGCAGCCGCCCGGCGGCGCGGTCCCGGGGCGGGAGACGGGCGAAGCGGGCGCCCACCGGCGCCAGGTGCCGCAGTGCCGCCGCAGCCGCCGCCATCTTGCCCGTGTCCTCTGGCCCGACCAGCGGCCTTGGCTCCACCCCCTCCTCGCCGCGCTCTCGCGAGAACCGGCGCGCGCGACGGCTGACCGGCGCAGCTTTCCTACGTCACTTCCGGTCCCCCGCGACGGCGGCAGCGGCGGCAGGGCCTGCAGGGGGCTGAGCGTGCGGCCGCCCTGCGTTGCCGGGGAGGCGCATGGCTCGGGCCCAAGCGCCCCGCCCGCCGCCGTGGCTTCGCTTTTTGGCGACGGGGCTGCCCGGGCCGGGTCCCTCCCAACCCCCTCGGTGAGGCTGAGGCGGGCGCCGAGCGCGGCCACCCGGCTGGCGGCCCTGAGGGGAACGGGGGGGCGGTGTCCGCCCTTCCCCCACCCCACCGGAGAGGGCGTGGCGCGGGGGCGGGTCCCGGTCGGGACACACCCTCGTCTCCGCCCCCGCCCGCGCCGGCGGCTCAACCCCGGGCTCTCGCTCAGTCGTCCCCGCCGCCGCTGGGCTCTGTCTCCGTGCCGGGAGCTGCACCCGTGAGTGCTGGGGCCAGGCCGGGCCGCTTCGGGGAGGGGGGTGTGTGGGGCTGAGTGCCCGGGGCCTGCCCTGGTTCGGGGGAGCGCGGAGGGGCTGGGCGCCCGCGGCCCGTGTGGGGCGGGGTGCCCGCGCTCTTGTTGGGGTCCGCCTTAAGGTGGGGTGGCCGCATGCCCGGGTGGCTGGTTAAGGGACAGGGTGTGGGTCTGGGCTCCCACGTTCTTTTCGGTGGCTGGGAGGCGTGCGGGGCTGGATGCTGGGGCTTTGGTGTTAGAGTGGGGGTGGGACAGCTGGTGCCGGGGTCCTGTTCCCGGTTGGGCTGGAGGAAGGAGCCGGGTGGGAGGCAGGGTGCTCGGCAGTGATCTCTGGCTGGGAGGGTCTGAAATATGTGGGTCTTGCCCTATGCGGGGAGGGGAGTGGGGCCACTTGCCCCACCCGGGAGAGGAGGCAGAGCTGAAACACTGGTTTGGGGTGGGGGAGAGGGTCTGGACTCTTGGGTCACTTGCAGAGAGGGGAGACAGAATGTCTGGGTTCATTTCCAGCATCTTTGCTGAATCACTGTGATCCTGGGGAGAGTTCTTCCACCCTGAGCTCTCTGGCTCCTCTGTGATGGAAACTGACAATTCCCAGCTCCTGCTGCAGGTCTGGGCCCCTCTCTGGCCTGGGCTCGCAGGAGGGATTTCTGCCCATCTTGCTTTTGGTCCTTCGTCCATCCATGTGATGAGCCCCACTGGTGTTTGCAGAAGGGCTCAGTGTTTCTGACACCTGGCTTCCTCCAAAACTGTTCAGAGACATGTTTCCACATGCAGATAACTGCCATTTAGCGTCACAGAAGGAAATACATGGATAAAACCCAACTGTTGTCATGGATGCTGAAAGCCTGGGTGCCTTGGGTTGTTTCAGCAGAACAGAGCCAGCAAGGCCAAGCTAGATACAAGTGTGTTCCTTTGGCTCTTGTGAGAGGAGGGCCAAAGTGATACTGTGATGTAGGCTCTTCAGACAAGCAGCAATTAAAATAAAAGTTTGGAACCTGGACTTACACCAGGATGTTGTAGAGCACCTCAGGGGAGGGAAGGAAATTTAAGGAGCTTGGAAATTATACTGAAGCAATTAGACGTAAAGGAGTGAAAATGCTGAGTGGCTGGTGTGAGTGTTTTTCTTTCCTGCCTGAGGTGAAGACTAAGTATTAGTAAAAAGCAAATGAAGAAAAGCAAGAACGAAGTTATGTTTTAATAAACTGTATTAGTCATTATAAATCTGACGAGTAGAAGGTGATGGATGCTTTCTTTAGTGAAGCTGATCTGCTGAATTGCCAGAAGATTTGGGAACCAATTCTTTTAAGAGCTTGCCTCCTCCTTGCTCCCTTGGTTAAGCTAGCATGGTGCTGGAGCCTCATGGGTTTGCTCTGCGGGCTGTCATCTGGCTGTACAGTTTGGTAGAGTACAGCCATCACTGGTGCTAGCTTAGTTGTTGTCAGTTCAGGTGAGTCACTGATAATGATTTACAAGAGAAACTTGCCTTTCAAATGTTATGACTGGCTGTGGAACAGCGAGGTGGTCCACGTGCAATATAACTGTGAGGGCAGTACTTTCTCATCCTTGGAGATCTAAATGTGAGAGGCAGGGAGATACAAAGTGGGTGAGTAGCTTGAAATACCCAGTATATTTTTCTGTGTGAGTATAGTGCTAGCTTTGCTCTTTTGTAATTTTTAAGTTGCCATTGGTAGAATTCCTGTCAACTCTATGTTGACTCAGAAATCTAAGGTAACTCTTGAGGTTAAACCGTTTGTGTGTTGGTTAAACAGCTTGTGTTGTAATACTGACACTAAACTGTCTGCTAAATACTAGTGCCACAAGTAAATCCTTGCATTCTTTTGTTGGAAAAACTAAATAAAAACATTTGGAGCAAATCAAGGGGTGCACACCTCTTGACTTTTAACTGTTCTGTGTATTTCTGCTCCTTCTTTGAGTAACTACGTATGACACAAAGGCTATGGTTTTCTCCAGGTGCAGTGTGTAGCCCTGTGGCCTTGACCAAGTGCAGCACACGTGGTCCCAGCAGTGCAAATGCTTGGCAGTGCTGCTGTCATCCCCGGGGCCTGTCCTGAGCCCACGTGTGTGTCTTAACAGGTGCAGATGTTCAGCTCAGTCTCATTTGCTTTCTCTGAATTTCAGCTTGCAAAATGGTTGCACGTTACCAGCTCTGTTCTAGTAGAAGCCCTGCTGAAGCTACCTGTTCCAGTAGTGTTGCTGGTAAATAGCCTTGCAGTCCTCTTGAGTCATAATATATGAAATTAGAGTGAGCATTTTATAAATGCAGGTGTCCAATTTGGTGTATTAAGTATAAAACGATGACTTGAGTGCTTTTCTTCAAAGGTACTCACCTCTCATTGTGCCTTTCTAGTTTTGGATATGCTTGGTGCTGGGCTACGGCAGCAGCTGTGATGACCATGTTAATGCTGTACATCTCTCTGCTTGCAGAAGAAGCTTAATGAAAGCAGGACTGTGGTGTGACACAATCTGTGCACTTCTGCTCTCGCCACAGAATGACGTCCTTTTTGGCTTAAATGGTGTCAGCCGTCTGTCTGGCTGAGTTTCATCCTAAATGAGTATTTCCGATGGTTATTAAAGGCATGCTGTCTTGCAGTACAGCTGCATGTCCTCTGTTCTCCGCTGTCTGGATGCGAGTAGCCACATTAGTGAGGCTGTCACCGTGTTAGCAAGGCTGTCTCTGGCTGCAGAATGTTGTGTGACACAGGGACAAGAGCTGGCGTGAGGCTGGTATGGATGGAGTGAGTGTCTGCCCACCCTCACCGATGCATCACTGTATATCATCCAGGAAGGATTTAAAGCATCGTTGAGAGGGTGTATGTCACGAAGGGCGTACGTTCCCACCCTTGTTGTGATGTGGTTTGCTTGTCCTTATCTCAGGTGGGACCCAAACAGAACTATTTTCCCCTGTGAAGTTGTCTGGAAATTCAGAGTGGCCAGGCTGAGGAGGGAAGCAGCAGGTAGTTGCGATCACACTTGGGCATTTTAGGATGGCTTCTTGGCTTCATCCCTTCACATCGTCCATCTCGCTCTGGCACTGGCTTTGCCAGGGAGGTTTGTGCTTGCCCAGTGATTCTCGGTCCTTACACAAAGGTCAGGGAGACTTCCTGATGCCACTTCCATGTTGAGGGCTGGGTTTGTTTCAGCTAATTGCTCTCGTAAATTATTCACTCCAGTGTTACATAGCAGTGCTGTGATCAAAGATTAGTTCATGCCCTCATACAGACAGGTGGCGTCATCTGTTTCTTTCCTTAATAAAGAAAGTCTTGGAGCATCCGTAGTGTGGGCTTAGATGCTGACCAAAATAACACAGTATCTTTCCACCCATTTAACTAACTCTGGACATCTGTCCTTCTTTGAAATACTCTGAATGTATAATTCCAGTTAATTTTATTAAGACTGCAGATCTCTTCTACCCTGATTACCAGTGAAGTTTCTGGCTGGCTGCATCATTTCACTTTCAAGTGAATGTTTTCCTTGAGTATCAGAAACTTGTACCAGTCTCTCCTATGGTTTTAATGCATCTGCACGTTATCCTGGTGGTGTACTTGACTAGAATAACACCTATAATTACATTTTTATTAAGAAAAAAAAGTGCTGGAATTTAAAAGATATGGGCTGTTGATAAAAGTTGATGAGCTCTACTTGAATGACAATTCCAAATAAAGAAAACCTGAATTAATTCACTTCTTGATTTGTGAGCAGAGGTTGGCAAAAGAGCTGGCATTCCAGGTTTATCTGCTGTTGGGGTGGGGGGTTGCTTTAATGTACTTTCTTGAGGCATATTCTGTCTCTAATTTGTAAAAGTAGGATCCTGGTATGACTAGTTCTGTATGTTAGTATTCCTTAGTCTTCTCTTGTCTGACCTCACGATTTTCATACACTGATTTTAGTTTTTCTACTCTGTAACGTGTCTGAGATGTAACTGGGGCTGCGCTCTTGCTGCAGGCCCAGAGGCCCAGAGGCCTGACCTGGACCCTGCTGTGCCCAGGCTGAGGGTTGGGGCAGGGCAGCAGAGCCCAGAGAGGTGGGATGTGCTGCCTTGTTCTGTGGCGAATGTGACCAGTCTCATTTGCTAGGAACGAGAAGAGCGAGTAATCTTTTTGGTTGGGAATTAACTGTGAACCTTCAGTTGTTTTGGAATGTAGGGCTCTGACTTGGCTAAACGTTTGTGCTGCTTTTAGCTGGGTGACTCTGTGTTGAAGTTTGCTAGTAAAAGAGGATGGGAGCAGAAGTCTTGGTAACTGTGTAGTCTTTAGGATGTAAAAATAAACAAAGCTGAGAAGCTGTACCCTACTTAAAACAGACTGACCTAAATTTTCAGCAATTCTAGCAGAAAGGCAGTAAAAATAAACAAAGCTGAGAAGCTGTACCCTACTTAAAACAGACTGACCTAAATTTTCAGCAATTCGAGCAGAAAGGCAGGCTCTGGGTAGGGATAAAGGCTTGCTGACGACTGGCTGCCCTGTCCATGCACAGCTTGCCATGGTT